TGAGGGGCTGGCAAACGAAGCTGGTGTTTTGGTGGCTGGGTTTAGCAACGTAACAAAATTTCTTCAATATTGACCGTGAAAAAGAACTTAAGTTGATCAAACCCAAAGGACCACCCATCACTGATCTACAGCCAGTAAAAAATTTACTTGACTTTTACAGATTAAGTAGACATCAAACACTGACATCTGCTTGTGAATCTGGATCGATCATTGAGCAAGTTCCAGACGACTTTGACTTCACTTAAGTTTCATAAAAACAACTGTTGCTAATTCTAGCTCGATCTGATGGAAAGATGAGGAACACCCACCAGTTTAAAATATTATCTACAAGTAGCAAGCATCTTTATTGATGTGTTGCACGATTGCTACAACCGACATTTAACCATTTTTGTTATTATTTTTGTTACTTTTATTATCCCTATCCCAATTTAAAAAATTCATTTTTTTTCACACAACACACAACGCTCGCCGGCAGCCAAATCCAGTGTGATCAGTTCACTTTAGCTTACGTCAAGGCACGTACAGAGCTCACTTGCCAGCACCAATAATTCCACCCGAATTTCAACTTCTGTCTCCCGTTCCAACCGCTCCTTCGACCGACCAACGCTTCTAGTCATTTTTGACACCAGTAAGAGCTTCTCGTCTCGATACCTTTCTCAGACACAATGCAGCTTCTGCTAAAACTAGGACAATCAAACCACAATGTTTATCATTTCATATTGCACTGATTAACACATTTTTCACAACAACCTTTTACTTTTTAAAATATATCTTATATGAAAGAAAATTCTCGAACCCGCAAACTCTTAAAGGCATGACGATTACTAACGGCAACTTGAATCTAAACCTTTGAACTCTCATTGATGTGAGCTTTATTAGCAAAACGGCACCTCAAAGTTTGCCAGCCACTTTAACCGAACCACATTGCATTTTATTGCCAATCACTGACATTTCACAATCAGTTAACGACGGCGTTCTGAAAATGCCACACTAGGTCCTATCCCGTGCTTAAAGTAAAACTTTTTTCTCGTGTTCACCACTACTTTAGCATGTTTTCTTTGTTTTACCTGCAAAAGGTTTCTAATTTATTGTAGTCAAAATGAAAGCAGTATCAAGATTCTTCAGCTAATGCAAAAACAAAATACTAAAAAGAAACTCATCCTTTGTTTTTTGCTCCAAAGAGAGTGAAAAGTTTTGCAACACTAATTTAGGATGAACCAGCCCCACCACCACCATCTTCTTCATGCTTGTCATCTGGGGCAGCACCAGCTTCAGTCTCAGTGGTAGNGGTCCTATCCCGTGCTTAAAGTAAAACTTTTTTCTCGTGTTCACCACTACCTTAGCATGTTTTCTTTGTTTTACCTGCAAAAGGTTTCTAATTTATTGTAGTCGAAATGAAAGCAGTATCAAGATTCTTCAGCTAATACAAAAACAAAATACTAAAAAGAAACTCATCCTTTGTTTTTTGTTCCAAAGAGAGTGAACAGTTTTGCAACACTAATTTAGGATGAACCAGCCCCACCACCACCATCTTCTTCATGCTTGTCATCTGGGGCAGCACCACCTTCAGTCTCAGTGGTAAAAGCTTCGTCATCGGTGTTAATTTCGCTGGTGGCAGACAAATCGTCTGAAACTTGTTCTCCCGGCACATGTACGTTCATCTTCATCTTCTCCATTTTCAACTCGCCCTTGAGAAGGCGTTTGAACTGCTCCACCTCATCGAGTGGCACTTCAATAGAGCTGCCCGTTTGTTCGTCCATCACCACTTTCACCGCTTCGCCGCCTCCACTTTTAGAAACATGATTCAATTTTCCTGTTTCTGACGCCACAACTGAAGTACCCTTTGAAGGAGCTATTTTTAGCAAGGAAGCGTTGCTTTTCTGAGAAGTGTCGCTTCGTGCGGTTTGAACCGAAGTCTTGCTGATGCTGACCGCCTCTTTTCCCTTGCAAATTGTCTTTGGAACTGTCTTTTGAGGCATCTTTCGGACGCCTTTTCTCTCCTCTTTAGACAGTTTTCCACCCATTTTCCCTCCTTTTTTCTTGATCTGAATTTTCAGCGCCTGCGGTGTCAGGTACTCCTTGGGGATCATTTCAACAACAAAAGGAAAGTAAGACATCAAGTTGGCGCCACGATTGAGCCACTCCGGAATGCCACGGCCGCATAGTTTTTTGCAAAAAGTATCCGAAAAGTTGTTGCAGTTTTTGTATAACAGGTGGTACTGGCGGCCCTTCCAGGTTTCTTCTAGTTGGACAATCTAGATTAAAAATAAAACGGTTTTACCTAAAAAACCTAAGTTTTTTNCAAAAGGAAAGTAAGACATCAAGTTGGCGCCACGATTGAGCCACTCCGGAATGCCACGGCCGCATAGTTTTTTGCAAAAAGTATCCGAAAAGTTGTTGCAGTTTTTGTATAACAAGTGGTACTGGCGGCCCTTCCAGGTTTCTTCTAGTTGGACAATCTAGATTAAAAATAAAACGGTTTTACCTAAAAAACCTAAGTTTTTGAGTTCAAACTTACGATCTCCCTCACCTGCTCCAAAGTGAAATCAGTGAAACCAATGCGCAGTGTTTCTTTGAAGATGAAACTGCCGTCAATGTCAGAGAGAGACTTCAGGTCACGCGGCTTCTTCATCAGGTATATGCCGCTGCCTTCGAGTGGGTGGCCACCGTAGGCCCACTCGTTGCCGTGCACTTCGGTACCGGAATGGTAAATGCCGATGCCGGTGTATTTGATCTTCTCGTTGACCTTCACCAGCGAGTAGACGTTAAGTCGGACTGGATATTTGCCTTTACGGGTCTTCTTTACACTGTCAGCTGACGTAGCTTTTATCTTTTCCAAAGAGCCAACTGATTCATCAGAGGTAGATTCATCAGTCTTTATCACCATTTTAAGGCTTCCACCACGAGACTTGAGGTGACCGATTGGCGGAGCTGAAACGATCTTCACTTTCTTTGACTGAACAGTTCGAGTGCTTGGAGCTCGAGCTTTAGAGCTTGAGGTTTTAGAAGTTGACTGCTTTAGCTGCTTGCTGATGCTTTTCCCAGACAACATCGCCTTCTTGTTGTTCATCTTCTGTTTCTGTTTCCCTTTTGCCTTTTTCTGTCCAGTTCCTTCGTTACTGCCGTTAATCCAATCTCTCATTTGCCAGTACATTGTAGATTAGTGGAAAAAGCAAAACAAATAAAAAAAGTGTTTTGAGTTCAATAAAGTTATACACTGTGTCTTTAGTTTGATTTGGAGCAACAATTTATTTTATAAAAAAATTAAGGGTTGATAACGCGTAACACAAAATATTTTCGAATTTTTAAAAAGTTGATCGTCTTCAATTTGTTATTTTGGATTTACTTGTTTTTTAAATTGTCCCCCCCTAATAGAACTTTTGCTTTCGACAAAAACGAGATGAAACGTAAGCATCCTCTATTTAATTTTATTTTTTTTGTCACGTAGTTTATGTACGGTCTGTAGCACGTCACGTGGTCCATGTGTTTTCTAAAGTTAGTTTTTTTAAATTTTGATTTTTAGCCGTTTTAAAATTGTTTATTTCTGTGATTTCAAAATGAATAAACTCAATTTTGTATCATGTGTTTCATGGATACCGAAGGGAGTGGCGAAAGAAGTTCCCAATCGAATTCAAATGTCGAAAGAAGATATTCAAATGAAGATTGAGCAAAACAAACAACAGCTTCGGCAAATGTACGTATATAAACTTCAAAATTCACCTTTTAATGGTATTTTTTCATTCCAGTGATCCAGAAAGTGTTGACGAAGACATGGATCAAGATGTGGAAAATGAAAACGTATCTGCAGAGGAGAGACAAATCATAGATCGTTATAATTTGAACGACTACGACGATGATGACGATGATACTGCTCTGAACCACAGCGAACTTGTTGTTTTTACCGACAACAATCAAGATCCCTATCTGAACAATGAAGAGGAGTTTTCAGACGTACGAAAATTGTGATACAGCTCTTTACTTTACAAAATGCTAAGTTTTAAGTTTGTAGGATGAAATGGAGAAACAGGATTTCAAAATAATGCCAACTGACAATCTTCTTCTTGCTGGACATATTGAAGAAAACAGCATCTCTCTTGAAGTTAAAAGTAATTGTTTCAATGTTTTTATTCCACTAATTAACGCTCATTTTTTTCAGTTTACAACCAGGAAGATGACATTTACGTCCATCATGAAATTTATCTGCCAGCATACCCACTATGCTTTGAATATCTCGACTTTTCTAGCGATAGTGACTCTAAAGTCAACTTTTTAGCTATTGGCGATATGCAGAAAGACATTAATATTTGGGACCTAGACACTGTTGATGCGCTTGATCCAATCTTAACTCTTACTGGTCATAAGGACTCGGTTCTAGATTTATCGTGGAATTCATTAACCCGTAAAACGCTGGCCAGTGTGTCTGCTGATAAGACTGCAAGACTGTGGGATCTTGAAACAAAAAAAGTAAGTTTGAGTTTTTTTATGTTTAAAACAATTTCAATTTCTGTTTATCTCTTTAGACTACGCAGAAGTTTGATTTTTACAAGTGCAACGTCCAAAGTGTTGCCTTTCATCCCGTAGAAGCGCACATTTTGCTGACTGGCGACTGTAGCGGACGAGCATCACTGATTGATTGTCAGAGTGGATCAGTTAAGAAATGGAACGTTTGCAAAGACGAAGTTGAGAAGGTCATGTGGAACAGATACAATCCATTCACATACTTTGTCGCCACTTCGGAGGGCTTTGTATACTGCATCGACTCTCGAAATGAGAGCTCTAACCTTTTTACCCTCAAAGCACACAGTCAAATGATTTCTGGAGTTGAACTAAGGTATGTTGACAGTAGCGGAAAAGTTTTTTATACAGCATTTCATTTACCTTGTACTATTTTTAGTTCATCTTGCAATGGTTGTTTGGTGACTGCTTCAGCTGATAAGCTTGTTAAAGTGTGGGACGTAAAAGAGAATCAACCCAAGTTTGTCAAAGAGATTGACCCTCAAGTCGGTACCATATTATCGCTCAGTGCCAATCCAGACTACCCTTTTGTTTTTGCCGTGTCCGGAGATAATATTGCTGAAAATATGAAAGTGCTAGATATATCCACTTTCAAAGCTGGTAAGTTTTTGGATACATCGTCATGTTTTTACAATTTCTCATTGATTCTTTTTTGTGCAGTTCGAGACCATTTCAGTAGCCGTTTGTAGTGCTGTACAATTTTTTATTTTACGCCAGATGGCAATATTGTTTCTAAAAATGTTTTTTGTAATCGCGTGTATAAAAAACTAAATCCATCAAAACTAAATTGACTTTTTAAAAAATTGTAACTCTTGTTGCAAAGCTGAATACTACCGTATCATCTAGGCTCTATCAAAATGGTCATTGTGCAAACACACACACACACACACACACACACATAACAACAAACTCTTTATCTACAGTACACCGTGACAATAAGCGTCTGTTTAAGTGGCACTAAAAGAGCCATTTGAAGCGCATTCACTTTTCTCAACCTTCAATTAGATGGCCAATTGAACGGCTTCATTATCGACAGGGATTTACTTGGTGCAAATTGTTTTAGCACCACTAAAAAGAGGGGGGACACCAGTGAGCATTACATGGTGTGATGATGAAGAAGAGATGATGGAGACCGTTTCCCCAGTGCTGTTGGTGGCACCCTTTTGCCGTTTAACTCGCTCAGTGCTCTATCTCTCCGTCTCTGTCCCTTCTCCGGGCACTGCTTTCTGTCCCATTAGGGTAATGATGGTGTGTGTATGTGATCAGTGGCCACTTGCCGTGGAGAGCATTTCAATGCAAATTCGATTTGCTTTATGGCGCTTTTAATGATCCATGAAATATCTCGTCCATTGTGCCTGCATTTGTCTGTGTGTGTGTGTTGAAACTTTGTCATCTCTTGTCACTGTGATCTGTAATTGGATTTAATCGACTCCCATGCCTCTCGGCGTGCGCACTATACCATTATTTTATTACTGTTTTATATCATATCGCCAATGCCTGGATTGGGTGCACTGCTAATGCAGTCACTTCCCCGATGCTGTGGATGCCCACACTAGTTGAGACAGCGAGCTGTTTCTTCGCCCAAAGACGGCGATGATTTGAAGAGCAAAACTTGAGACTGACTACTCTCTTTTTCTTTCTTCCTTCGATCGGTGAGGCATTGTATCGTCTGCAATCGATATATATAATACTCGTCGAATACATACTTTGCCATGCTCTTCTGCACACTGGTTAGGTTACTTCTTCTGACCATTCCTTCTTTTCTCGATGGCTTTTATTCTGTATGTCTTTGGTGTGCTCCTATGCCCTCTCTTTTTCTTCCTCAACGCTGGTGCTAGTGTGCGAACGAGGGAGAAAGAGCCCAGTGCGAGGACAGGCGACTGTAATCTGCAATTTAGTGGCACTTAATGATAGGCTTGACACACGAGTTCCACATTGGCAGCGCAACTTGCAACTTTGTCTGTGCGCCGACTTCTCTACTTCACCTACTCGAGCAGTTCATCGATATTCCTAATATGCCTGCACTACTCAGTCTTCGGCTGCACCAGCGGCCGCGAATTCTGTGCAGATGCTCACCAGCAGTTGCGATGGAGGAAAATGCTGAAGCAAGGAAGACACACTGGGACAACACGGGGCCCTCATTCTCAGTGGACTGGCTCGTCTGCCTGCCTGCAGCCTCTGATTCGCTCACTGCCGAGCATCAAGAGCATGAGCACATGCGGGTGTTTGTCATTAAGCCAAAGAGGCGATCTATCTTTCTTCCTCGCGCTTTCTCGCCACTGCCCTGCTCACGAACCCGAAGAGTGGCCCACAGCAAAAGTCGACTGTACCGTCTGATGCTGTTGCTGTTGCTGTTCCGAATGAGCCAAAGCAGCGCCAGTGTCGTGTCTTTAGTTTCTCAGTGGAGGCGCCCACTTTGGCTGTGATCGGACCCACTTCAGCTGTGGCTGTAATGCCTGGCGTCTGTTCGCCCATCGTCTGAACGCCATGTCAACTTCACCACTTTGGCGGACCGTTTGCTGCTCTGTGCCAGTGCTTGGCTTACATTCTCTTGTCTCTCTCTCTCTTTATCCTTTCCTATCTCTTCCTATCTCTCTCTCTCTCTCAGTGCTTCCCCCTCCCCCTTCACTTCACTTCGGATGTAGCCCATTAATGGCAGGCTTTAGTATGTGACATTAAAACAAATGGACTAGTGCGAATCAGTCGGTGCAGGCACAGGCAGCCATTGTTTCGGCGCTGTCTTCGTCTCTCTTCGTCGCAGCGGCCCTTCTAAAATGTCCAAGTTAATTATACGTTTAGCCTCAACGTGTTATGACATGCAAGCGGATTTTTATTTTTTTGTCTTCGTTCATGTGTCATCATTCTCTGGCTGCACTGCAGACGACAGAGGGAAACCTTTGATAGTGCGCTTTAGATGAAGAGCACTCGAGAGTTGTCTTGTAGCTTGATGTGAGTCGGCTGTAGTGCGATTGGAATCACTGCCAAGAGGCAGATGAGAGGACAGGAAAACTTGCAGTTGCTTGCTGGTCTCTTGCTCTTTGTGCTGTCTATGTCCTGTCTGACTGGCTGTCTATTTGGCGCCTTCATGTTTCTCATTGCTTAATTTAAATGTCAACTTGAGCAGCAGTGAGGTGCCAATGCTCATACACTGAGTTGATGCACTGACCGGCAATAGCAGCTGGCGCCATTTGATCTGGGCTGAATCAGGGCTTCAATGAGTGCTGAGACTGTCAGCATTTGAGACCACTGGAACGGGCACCATCAGTGGATTGGACTGACTGACTGAACTTGACTGAAGGTTGCACAAGAGCGGCAACACTGTGCAGGAAAGTGGTTTCAGTTGTGATTCGCTCGCCCAAGGCCAATGTCAAGAGTAACTACTGCCTGGCAGTCGGCAAAAAGTAAATGTAAGCCCAAATGGTCATTTCACTGGCCTAATCAAAGGGTTCAGCAGCCTAAGAAAGGCTAGGCCTAGGTTCCCCAGTCTGGATGACCTACCGGCAACAGCAGCAGTGGTAGTTTTTGCACTGAGACNGGCCTAATCAAAGGGTTCAGCAGCCTAAGAAAGGCTAGGCCTAGGTTCCCTAGTCTGGATGACCTACCGGCAACAGCAGCAGTGGTAGTGTTTGCACTGAGACAGAGACAATGAACAGCCATCTGAAGAAAGGCAGTTAGTAAGTTGCCGCTTGCATGAGGTAGTCTGTCATTACAGCAAGTATTAGCGCAGACAACGGGTGAAGTGGAAAGTGAAGTGCTGGCCATGTGCGACCACTGATCACTGCCTAATGAGAGCTGTGTGGAGTAACGGTGAGCTGATCTCTGGTCAGTGTTGTGTAGACTGACCAAGTTGTCTGGCCAGGCTCGTCCGGTCTTGGCTCGGTCATCTTCTGCCGTTGCCTGTGCGGTGACAGGACCAATGATCTTCCTGCAAGCGAAGCAGCAGCAGCAGCAGCCGTTTCAGCAGGTCCAATGGTGGCGGTGGTGGTAGTGGTGGCTGAACCGAGCAGCGGAACGATCTGTCTTGTGGCGGTGCAGCAGTGGCAGTCGTTATTAAAGTGCCATTTTCCCTCAGCTCCAAGCTGTATCAGACCCATAATTTTGGGATGCCGCCGAACACGAGCACTAGCTGCTCTTCTGCTCTTTCTCCTTCTTCTTCTTCTTCTTAGCCACTCTTCGGTCGTCGCCGTCGTCTTCATCGTGGTCGTCGTCCGCACTGTCTCGACCTTTGCCGTTCGGAGTGCTGTTCATTGCTCGCGGTGTTCAAGTTTTCAGTCACTTCAGTTCCGAGCCATTATTATTGCACTGCAACTCTGAAGCAGCAGCAGCAAACAGCGACTTCGGTGCTACACTTTTCAGCCATGTCTGTAGTGCAGAAACATACTGCAGTTTTCTACTTTTTCGTCTTCTTCTTCAGACTTCTGCTGCCTCCTGACAACGACGACGTCGATGTGGACGGTGATGGCAGTGCGGTGGCAAGTGAAGCCAAATCGATTCGCTCGGCCAAATGGCGCCTCACTTCTTCTTACTGGCGGACAGTGTGCTGCACCACGTCCCGCCACCATAATTATTACGTTCGCTGTCCGCTCT